TATGTATCATGGTCAGTATACTCTGGCATATGTATCATGGTCAGTATACTCTGGCATATGTATCATGGTCAGTATACTCTGGCATATGTATCATGGTCAGTATACTCTGGCATATGTATCAAGGTCAATATACTCTGGCATATGTATCATGGTCAGTACACTCTGGCATATGTATCATGGTCAGTACACTCTGGCATATGTATCATGGTCAGTATACTCTGGCATATGTATCAAGGTCAGTATACTCTGGCATATATATCAAGATCAGTATACTCTGGCATATGTATCATGGTCAGTACACTCTGGCATATATATCAAGGTCAGTATACTCTGGCATATGTATCATGGTCAGTACACTCTGGCATATGTATCATGGTCAGTACACTCTGGCATATATATCAAGGTCAGTACACTCTGGCATATGTATCATGGTCAGTACACTCTGGCATATATATCAAGGTCAGTACACTCTGGCATATGTATCATGGTCAGTACACTCTGGCATATGTATCATGGTCAGTATACTCTGGCATATGTATCATGGTCAGTACACTCTGGCATATGTATCATGGTCAGTACACTCTGGCATATATATCAAGGTCAGTACACGCTGGCATATGTATCATGGTCAGTACACTCTGGCATATGTATCATGGTCAGTACACTCTGGCATATGTATCATGGTCAGTACACTCTGGCATATATATCAAGGTCAGTACACTCTGGCATATGTATCATGGTCAGTACACTCTGGCATATGTATCATGGTCAGTATACTCTGGCATATGTATCATGGTCAGTACACTCTGGCATATGTATCATGGTCAGTACACTCTGGCATATATATCAAGGTCAGTACACTCTGGCATATGTATCATGGTCAGTACACTCTGGCATATGTATCATGGTCAGTATACTCTGGCATATGTTTCATGGTCAGTACACTCTGGCATATGTATCATGGTCAGTACACTCTGGCATATGTATCATGGTCAGTATACTCTGGCATATGTATCATGGTCAGTACACTCTGGCATATGTATCATGGTCAGTACACTCTGGCATATATATCAAGGTCAGTACACTCTGGCATATGTATCATGGTCAGTACACTCTGGCATATGTATCATGGTCAGTATACTCTGGCATATGTATCATGGTCAGTACACTCTGGCATATGTATCAAGGTCAGTACACTCTGGCATATGTATCATGGTCAGTACACTCTGGCATATGTATCATGGTCAGTACACTCTGGCATATGTATCATGGTCAGTACACTGGCATATGTATCATGGTCAGTATACTCTGGCGTATGTATCATGGTCAGTATACTCTGGCCTATGTATCAAGTAGCTAACACCTAATTTACAAAAGTAATGACCTACCACATTTACGCTATTCATCTGCATTATCTCCTCTCTAAAGGTACCACCCAAGATTACCAATGACTTATGGTACTCATTCAGTATTCCTATTCCTCCGGTATTCTTACCTTAACATACCTTACCTTAACATACCTTAACGTCCGTTTAATTGATTGGTATCTACCATACCATACATATCTATATATAGTGTTGTCAATCTCCATAGCACTTTTCTTGTCAATTGGAAAGCTATGAGCCAAATACCACACTTAAGACAAAAATGTTCCAACTTTCTACGCATCGGCTTCCTGAGGTAACTTGGAATTCGTACGTTCCTGGGGTAGGATAAACAGTTGCATTTGTTACGGAGGGATTTAGAGAGGGTTGCAGGGTGCCACAAGCTAAGGGGGTGCCAGTTAAGGGGGGTGGGTGGGTGGGTGCCAAGGGCCATTAGCCAGCACGGCAATAGACTGGCCAGCCGTGGCACTCAATTGGACCTCGGGTGTCGGCTGGAAATAGAATATGGACAAGTGAGGTGTCGGGACGAGATGGATAGATCTGGTATCGACACGTGGAGATGCATGGTTGGATAGGGGCGTCCCTCCTGGTAGTGGGTGGCTAGGGGCGTCTCTCCTGGTGGTGGGTGGCTAGGGGCGTCCCTCCTGGTGTGGCTGCTGGTGGTGGGTGGCTAGGGGCGTCCCTCCTGGTAGTGGGTGGCTAGGGGCGTCTCTCCTGGTGGTGGGTGGCTAGGGGCGTCCCTCCTGGTGCTGGGTGGCTAGGGGCGTCCTTCCTGGTGCTGGGTGGCTAGGAGCGTCCCTCCTGGTGTGGATGCAGGTGCTGGGTGGCTAGGGGCGTCCCTCCTGGTGTGGTGCAGGTGCTGGGTGGCTATGGGCGTCCCTCCTGGTGCTGGGTGGCTAGGGGCGTCCTCCTGGTGCTGGGTGGCTATGGGCGTCCCTCCTGATGCTGGGTGGCTAGGGGCGTCCCTCCTGGTGCTGGGTGGCTATGGGCGTCCCTCCTGATGCTGGGTGGCTAGGGGCGTCCCTCCTGGTGCTGGGTGGCTAGGGGCGTCCCTCCTGGTGCTGGGTGGCTAGGGGCGTCCCTCCTGGTGCTGGGTGGCTATGGGCGTCCCTCCTGGTGTGGCTGCAGGTGCTGGGTGGCTAGGGGCGTCCCTCCTGGTGTGGCTGCTGGTGCTGGGTGGCTAGGGGCGTCCCTCCTGGTGCTGGGTGGCTAGGGGCGTCCCTCCTGGTGCTGGGTGGCTAGGGGCGTCCCTCCTGGTGCTGGGTGGCTAGGGGCGTCCCTCCTGGTGCTGGGTGGCTAGGGGCGTCCCTCCTGGTGCTGGGTGGCTATGGGCGTCCCTCCTGGTGCTGGGTGGCTAGGAGCGTCCCTCCTGGTGCTGGGTGGCTAGGGGCGTCCCTCCTGGTGCTGGGTGGCTAGGAGCGTCCCTCCTGGTGCTGGGTGGCTAGGGGCGTCCCTCCTGGTGCTGGGTGGCTAGGGGCGTCCCTCCTGGTGCTGGGTGGCTAGGGGCGTCCCTCCTGGTGCTGGGTGGCTAGGGGCGTCCCTCCTGGTGCTGGGTGGCTAGGGGCGTCCCTCCTGGTGCTGGGTGGCTAGGGGCGTCCCTCCTGGTGCTGGGTGGCTAGGAGCGTCCCTCCTGGTGCTGGGTGGCTAGGAGCGTCCCTCCTGGTGTGGCTGCAGGTGCTGGGTGGCTAGGGGCGTCCCTCCTGGTGCTGGGTGGCTAGGGGCGTCCCTCCTGGTGCTGGGTGGCTAGGAGCGTCCCTCCTGGTGTGGCTGCAGGTGCTGGGTGGCTAGGGGCGTCCCTCCTGGTGTGGCTGCAGGTGCTGGGTGGCTAGGGGCGTCCCTCCTGGTGTGGCTGCAGGTGGTGGGTGGCTAGGGGCGTCCCTCCTGGTGTGGCTGCAGGTGCTGGGTGGCTAGGGGCGTCCCTCCTGGTGTGGCTGCAGGTGGTGGGTGGCTAGGGGCGTCCCTCCTGGTGTGGCTGCAGGTGCTGGGTGGCTAGGGGCGTCCTCCTGGTGTGGCTGCAGGTGCTGGGTGGCTAGGGGCGTCCCTCCTGGTGTGGCTGCAGGTGCTGGGTGGCTAGGGGCGTCCCTCCTGGTGTGGCTGCAGGTGCTGGGTGGCGTGATGCTGCGACTTATCTGGGGTGTGGAGCCATCTCTGGCACGCCCAGCACCTCAGGTTATGGCGGGAGAGTGAGCCACTTCGGGGCCCATAACCTGATCATTCCCGCCAGGTGTGTGTCTCATGGCCTGAAATCCGCCCAGATTTTCCAAGCCGCTGGTGGGGGCGTTTTTCAGCCATCTGGCTTTCCTCCTCAGGAGGTTCTGCCATTCCAAGCCACTGGCTTATCCTCTAAGCCATTGTCTCAGCTGCTCTTTCTTGGCCCGCCTCCCCCTTCCTGCCTGTTCCTTCCTGACCCCCTACCTTCATTTTCCCCTGCCCCAACCTGCCTTTCCCCTGCCTCTTTCCCCGCCTACTCTTCTTGACCCCACCAGCACATTCCACTTACCCCTGCCATCACTAGGGGGGGGGGGGGCGTGACCCCCTTCACAGCACTGGGGGGAGGCGTGACCCCTGCCTCTCACTAGGGGGGGGGGGCGTGACCCTGCCTCTCACTAGGGGGGGGGGCGTGACCCCTGCCTCTCACTAGGGGGGGGGGGGGCGTGACCCCTGCCTCTCACTAGGGGGGAGGCGTGACCCCTGCCTCTCACTAGGGGGGGGGCGTGACCCCTGCCTCTCACTAGGGGGGGGGGCGTGACCCCTGCCCCTCACTAGGGGGGGGGGCGTGACCCCTGCCCCTCATAGGGGGGGCGTGACCCTGCCCCTCACTAGGGGGGAGGCGTGACCCCTGCCCCTCACTAGGGGGGGAGGCGTGACCCCTGCCCCTCACTAGGGGGGGAGGCGTGACCCCTGCCCCTCACTAGGGGGGAGGCGTGACCCCTGCCCCTCACTAGGGGGGGAGGCGTGACCCCTGCCCCTCACTAGGGGGGGAGCGTGACCCATGCCCCTCACTAGCGGGGGCATGACCCCTGCCCCTCACTGGGGGGGAGGCGTGACCCCTGCCCCTCACTAGGGGGGAGGCGTGACCCTGCCCCTCACTAGGGGGGAGGCGTGACCCCTGCCCCTCACTAGGGGGGGGGGGCGTGACCCCTGCCCCTCACTAGCGGGGGCATGACCCCTGCCCCTCACTGGGGGGGAGGCGTGACCCCTGCCCCTCACTAGGGGGGGGGGGGGCGTGACCCCTGCCCCTCACTCGGGGGGGGTGACCCCTGCCCCTCACTAGGGGGGGGGGCGCGTGACCCCTGCCCCTCACCCGTGCCTTATCAGGGATCTTGACCACCCTCAGCCTGTGCTCTGAGGCCTCTTATCACCCTCTCACCATTTCACCATTGTTTGGAACTACTTAAACCCCCCCTCTCTCTCTCTCTCTCTCTCTCTCTCTCTCTCTCTCTCTCTCTCTCTCTCTCTCTCTCTCTCTCTCTCTCTTCTTTCTTTCTTTCTTTTCCCTTCCTCCTCCCCCCCCTCTACTACCCGTCTGCTGTTGCGTATCAGCATGGCTGCTGGAACACCAGATGAATTTGGCTTCTTGTTACCTGGCTTACAGCTCTCCCTTCCCACAGCTCCTCATCTTCTCCTGGGCTCGAACCCTGGCCAAAATAGGTTATAAGGACTTGCGGTTCCACTGCGCCGCAGAGCCTCGTGTTTTGTTGATTTTCTTTGATTTTGTATACCCTTTACATGGATTTTAAACGCTGCTGCCTTGGCCGCTGCTGCCTTGGCCGCTGCTGCCTTGACCGCTGCTGCCTTGGCCGCTGCTGCCTTGGCCGCTGCTGCCTTGACCGCTGCTGCCTTGGCCGCTGCTGCCTTGGCCGCTGCTGCCTTGACCGCTGCTGCCTTGGCCGCTGCTGCCTTGGCCGCTGCTGCCTTGACCGCTGCTGCCTTGGCCGCTGCTGCCTTGGCCGCTGCTGCCTTGACCGCTGCTGCCTTGGCCGCTGCTGCCTTGGCCGCTGCTGCCTTGGCCGCTGCTGCCTTGACCGCTGCTGCCTTGACCGCTGCTGCCTTGACCGCTGCTGCCTTGGCCGCTGCTGCCTTGGCCGCTGCTGCCTTGACCGCTGCTGCCGCCTTGACCGCTGCTGCCTTGACCGCTGCTGCCTTGGCCGCTGCTGCCTTGGCCGCTGCTGCCTTGACCGCTGCTGCCTTGACCGCTGCTGCCTTGACCGCTGCTGCCTTGACCG